ACCGTGGACGAAGCGGAGTCCAGCCCGGGGTCGTCACATGTGGTTGCAGCAGGTATCACAATATGGTAAGGGACGTAAAATTTCCGTCACACGCTTGAGGTATTCGGCCAATCACAACACACTGGATAGCTGGCCAATCAGAGCACACCTCGCTTTTCAGACCGATGAGCTTTGTAAAAATCGATGCGTTTCAGAAAGGAGGGGCATAGAGGAGAAACAATAATGTACAGTATGTGGAAAATAATGTTTTTTTAACCTTAAACCGCATAAACACATTTCATTACACCAAATACACAAAATAATGTTCTTTTTAGCAACATCATATGACCCCTTTAACACATAAAGCTGATTGCAAACTTTTTTTTTGTTTTACAGTGGATTCATAATAAAAAAAATCAATCAATTTAGGTTATTCAGTGAACTAATAAAAAGTTGAAATGGGTGTGTAAATAAACATTGTACATTACTTTAAAACTGTATTGCAATGTATTTAACCTATCTACAAACTACAAACAACATTAACTAGACATTTACTGTATATCAAATAATTTAAGATAACAGTGGCCAGACGTTTTTATTACTAAACATCAAATTTTTCTTAATTCTTTGAGAAACTGCGCACAATTTGTTATATAAATAACTGTCTAATCAACATGAACAGTGAAGAAACAGTTAAGAGTTACAGGAAGAAACGATTGTAATAGTTTAACTCCACCTACTGGACAACATGGTATATGCAAAGGGTAAAGGGGTTTTCTTATTTAAACGTGTGTAATCTAATATCAGGTGTTTTATCTTAGAAGTCACAGATCTCAAGTAGTAAGTGACAATGTACAGTCAGCTGGTCACGACTGCAAAATAAAACACTTTTGTGTGATTAAGTGTAATTATACATGTAACTACAGAAATCAGTTGTATATGTAACTACAGGAGGGTTTTTTACTATGTAAAAACGCGTATGCACACAATAAGCGCACTGTATCAAATAATTAATTTAAAAGTAAGTACATACTATTTAGATACTTAATATAACATGGCTCACAACAGTCAATGCTGGGTAGATTACTTACAAATTGCAGTCTTCAGTTACTGACAGAAAATTGTAGTCAGTAACGTAAAAGTGAAAAGTGAAAGTGACATGTGGCCAAGTATGGTGACCCATACTTGGAATTAGTGCTCTGCTTTTAACCCATCCAAAGTGCACACACACAGCAGTGAACACACACACACACACACACAGCAGTGAACACACACACACCGTGAACACACACCCGGAGCAGTGGGCAGCCATTTATGCTGCGGCGTCCGGGGAGCAGTTGGGGGTTCGGTGCCTTGCTCAAGGGCACCTCAGTCGTGGTATTGAAGGTGGGAGAGAGCGCTGTACATTCACTCCCCCCACCTACAATCCCTGCCGGTACGAGACTTGAACCCGCAACCTTTGGGTTACGAGTCAGACTCTCTAACCATTAGGCCATGACTTCCCCTAGATCTAGATTACTCGGACTACTTTTGGATTACTTTTACATTAATTTTGATCAGAGACAACTGTGAACATGTGAATGTGGTGTTAAATTATTGAAATATTAACTTTAAATCTCAGGGGGCTACAAGTAAATATTTTAGGCCAAAGGGGTTTGACTGACTAGTTTGGGAATCTCTGCATCACATGAACAAACATTATTAAACATGAAAATAGCAATGACATGGTGAAAGTCTTCCAGGTTTTAAATATTTTTGTCAGTTATACATCAGTAGTGTTTAGTAAATTGTGTAACTATTTGTCTCATATGTGGTATAATTGAAATTCAGAAGCATAGATCGTAAATACATTTACATTACATTTACACAGCCATTCTATACAGTGAATATCCAAAGCTAAATGATATGACAGTATATAATTCTTTTTAGAAAGAAAAATTTAAAAGGGAAAAATAGGAAGAATCAACTCTGTGAATAACTTGTACTGATGTAATACATAAAAAAAGTAACTGTAATCTGATTATGCACATTTTAAAATGTAATGTAATCCAATTACAAGTACTTCGTATTTGGGTTACACATTATTTTAAGGTGACCTTGTTACAGTGTAATTATAAATTTAAGTACTGAGTAATATTAATTAACTACATGTACTTACTATATGCTTAGGGTTAGGATTAGGGTTTGTCTTAGGGTTACTTGCATGTAATTATGTATAATTAATTGTTACTACAATAGTAAGTATACATTTAACATGTAACAAGGACACCTTAAAATAAAGTTTGACCAATTTTTGGAATCTTATTTTGTAATCCACAATACATGTATTCAATTACTACCCAAAAATAAGGTTTAGCATGATTATAAAAGTATTTGACTTTTGTTAATGTTATAACCCACCAAATATCCTGTCCTGGATGCTGATTGGTCAATGTAGCCTTTCAGTCGTGTTACATTCCTCAATGTATACTGACCTCTTATTACTCAAGTGTTATTTTAAGTGGCGCTTTGTTAAGGACTATGCTATCGATCTGACAGAAATGACATTGTCGGATGAGAAGAAAAACTTGAACTGAACTGAGCCGGATAATGACACTATTGTAGCGCTGCTTTAAAGAGTCTTTTTCAGAATTGATTAACTACAGCTATATAAAGAAATCTTTTGCTCTTAGGTTTTAGAATTCCACTAAAATCTAATATTCACTAATATTTAGAATGTTTTTACTTTTTCAAATGTTTTATAAATGATTCAGGTTATTGTGAAAATACTCACTTTGTTACTATAGCATACTACGTATATAATTGCTTAATTTTTGTAATAAAGACCTACCTTAACGTTAGTAGCAGGATGCAGTCTCGAGGCCGTCAATGGAAAATGAGACGCATGGTGTCAGATATGATAAATGCTTAACCAGCACTACGGTTTTGTTGACTGAAAGGAAACATTTCACTATAAACAGAAACTAAGTGAAACTTACATGTGTCAATATAGGTCGGCCCACTGTTTTTTTTTGTTTTTTTTAATAGGCCATATCGCGTTTCTCATTAGATATTCAGGACAAGCCTGTGTGGGTGCTGGAAACTCTTCGCCATGCAGCTTAGAGTCATGGTTCTCTTAGTGCTTGCATATTTTGCGGTTTGAAATGTTAGGTTTTGATGCTCGCAGAAATTTCTGATAGAAAGACGTTTTCATTTTCGCCAGTTCTCGGTTTAAAACGCAGTATACATGACTCCATCAACACTCCTACTGCCAACACATGCAGCCACATCTGATGTTATCTTCGTGGCCGTGCTCATATGAACCTTCACACAGAAGTAAACAAAATCAAACGCTCTCTGGCGTGTGTAAAGTGCATCTGTTGCTTTTAGTGTTAAATCAGGATGCTTGTGTTTAAAAATGACAGGCTGTGTCATATTTTTTTTTAACTGTGTTTAACATTTTTACACATTTTATGAGACTCCTTCTTGGCTATACATTCATATGTAGTACAGAACTCATTCAAGTACAATATTTACACACATAGTGCAATAATCAGCATACACAATTTACATAATACACAAACTGCTGACTTACATTTTAAGATACATAGTGTTAGGATACACAGAAGCATTTTAGTAGCGCATAAGAAAATGATAACAGGAGAACGACAAAATCAAAACTTATCTTCACATTTTCTGAAGAAAACGTGAGTGGTGTCTGTGAATGCAAAACTCGCTGCCACACTCTCAAGTCTCTGGTCTGGAAATGACTCAGGTCCCTCCATAAATGCTGGGGATTTTTGGCCAGTTTTATCAAATCGTAAGTCTTATTTTTAATAAATGTAATAGCACACAAACCTCTCCTCATAAGCCCCACAGTTTGAGGTATTATTCTTGTGTATACCACAGATGGAGCAAGTATGAGAAATGATATGCTTGTGGTTGCAACATGGGCTTATTGGAAAAAACGTGCCTCTATATTTTTGCAAAACTCCACAAACGTACCTATGCATACACCTCGCTGCAGTTTCCAGTTGCAATGAACACTAGTGACAGTAAAACACCAACAACTTTCATTCCTTTTCATACAAATTATGATTAAAGGGTCAGATTATAGATTTTTCACGCAGTTTTACTAGTGATACTATGACCTCAAAACACTTTCACCATAGTGCATGAATTGTCATTTGTGATGCATTTGCATCACATATTTTAATTAGCTCCATATGTATGGTGTATGTCACATAGTAAATTTGCTCAGTAGCGCACCTGGTACAGCACTGCACTTGCTCAGGTACAAGTCCTGTGACGCACAAGTCACGATAAAAGTGCTCAAAGACTTGTAGTAGCAACATAAAATAGCACGCTTGCTTCAGCAAATGCATTTTTACCTCATGTTTGCCTTTGT